AGAAAAACTGAAAAATTTCTCTCTAAAATCAGAAACAAGACAAAGATGTCTTCTATCACTATTCCTGTTCAACATAGTACCTGAAATTATCTGGAGCAATCAGGCAAAAGAAACAAAAGATGTGTATATATATATATATATATATATATATATATATATATATATGGAAGAAGTCAAGCTAACCTTATTCACAAATGACAAGATACTTTGCATAGAAGACAAAGCATTCCACAAAAAGACTCCTAGAACTAATAAATTCAGCAAGCTAGCCAGCTACAAAATCATATAAAAATCAATAGCATTCTAGTACACCAATAATGAATACTCAAGAAAGAAATTAGGAGAAAAATACCATTCACGGTAGCATCCAGAAAAAGTAGATATAGTGGTACCTTGGTTCACGAACTTAATTTGTTCCATGATTCTGGAAAAGATGGCTATGTTCATGTTCATGCAGGAAAGATGGTTGTTGTATTTGTCACTTGATGCAGAGTTTGAAAACAAAAAAAAATTTTGCCAACACTTATGTTTGTGAACCAGATTTTTCACAAACAAAAACATTCATAAACCGAGGTACCACTGTAATTAAGAATTAACCTAACAAAGAAAGTAAAAGACTTCTATAACAAAAATTATGGTACTTTGAAAAAGGAGATCAAAGAGGACAATGAGAAAATGGAAAGATATCCCCTGTTCCTGGACAGGCAGAACCAATATTGTCAAAATGACCATTCTTCCATAACTGATATGTAGATTTAATTCAATCCCAATTGAAATACCCACAACATTGCTCACAGAAGTAGAGAGAACAATCCTGAATATCAGATGGAACCACAAGAGATCCAGAATAACAAAAGCTGTCCTGGGCAACAAGAGCAAAGCAGGAGGCATCACAGTTCCAGATTTCATTATATTACAAAGCTGCAGTGATAAAAACAACATGGTACTGGCACAAAAACAGACAAGTGAGTCAGTGGAACAGAATAAATGATGCAGAAACAAGCTGAGGCATATTCAGCCACCTGATCTTTGACAAAGAGACCAAAAGCACCTGCTGGAGGAAAGACAGCCTCTTTATTAAATGGTGCTGGGGAAAATATCTGTCCACATGCAGAAGATTGAATCTAGATCCATATCTCTCACATGTACTAAACTAAAATCAAAAAGTATCAAAAATCTCTATTGAAACAAATCTGTTGGAAGATAGATAAAACTCTTGAAGGCACAGGTAATGGCTTTCTGAATGGAACCCCAATGCATAAGAAATAACATCAAGAATCAACAAATGGGAGTCTTATTTTTAAAAGAGATAGTAGGAAAGAGATAGAGCTTTTGCAAAAGGAAGAGGACCAAGAGATGGAGGGAGGGAGGGAGAGATGGAAGGGGGAAGGAATAAAAAAAATTTAGATGTGTACATGTACAAAGTCCCCATGATGAAGGTAATCCTTATATACTGCAAATAAATACTAATTTTTTTTAAATTTAAAAAGTTTCTGCACAGCAAATGAAACAATCAACAGAGTGAAGAGACAACCTACCAAATGGGGAAAATTTTTGCCAGATACTCCTTGGATAGAGGACTAATATCTACAATATATAAAGAACTGAAAAAAACTAGACCTTCTCCAAATGAAAGACCCAATAAAAACTGGGCAACTAAAATGGATAGACACTTCTCAGAAGAAGTACAAATGACCAATAAATATATGAAAAAATGTTCATCTCCAGCTACTAAAGAAATGCAAATTAAAACATCATCTTATTCTAGGAAGAATGACTGTCACTAAGAAATCAAATAATAAATGCTAGTAAGACTATGAGGAAGGACACTTCTGCATTGTTAGTGGGAAGGTAATCTAGCACAACCACTATGGAAAGCAGTATGGAGATTCTTTTAAAATCTAAAAAGAGAAATTCCATTTGACCCCATTCTTCTTCTTCTAGTTATCTTGCTGAAAGAGTTAAAGATGTCATGCTACATTGATACAGGCATACCTGTGTTTATAGCAGCACAATTCATAATAACTAAGCATTGGAGGCACCCTGTATGTCCATCAACAGATGATGGATAAAGAAAATGTGGTATTTACACACAATGGAGTACTACTCTGCTACAAAGTTTGAGTTATTTGGACAAATTGAAGTCATTTGTAGGAAAATGGGTGCACCTTGAGGGTATGATGTTATGTGAAATAAATCAGATACCCAAGCTTAAATATCACATAAGAAATATCTTATATGAGAAACACAAAGTATACATAAATTTAATAGCAAAATAAAAGTAGATAATAAGGAACAGGGAGACAGAGCTTTTGCGAAGGAGAAGGAGACCAAGAGATGGAGGGAGGGGGACAGGAAAGGGAAAAGGGGAAGTAAAAAGAAGTAAGATGCATCACATACATGTGCCAGCTCCCCTAGTGAGTGTAATCACTATGTGCTACAAACATGTACTGCTGAAAATAAAAATTAAGAAAAAGAAGGTGCTGTATATCTCATGTTAAGTGTTCTTATCACAATGAAATGAAAGGCATATTGTTAAGGGAAAAAGAAGGATGTAGGACAGTGTACAATCTGATCTTATTTGTGTGGAAAATGGATACACATATACACCTTTAAATATATATTTATATTATTTATATATATATTCTATATATATGTGTGTGTGTGTGTGTACATATATATATATATATATGATTGAAAACTGGTGGTCAACTTATAACACCCAGCTGAAGTGAACCAGCATGGTGCTGGGTGTGGGAGGCCCACCTGAGGACTGTTGCCAGCAACATAAGAGGGAGACCTGGAGAGGAAGTGTAGAAGCTATTGTGTGCTGTTAGAAGCTCTAGGGAGCTCTTGGTTTTCCTGGAGGAGCTTGTCGTGCTGGCTTTCCTGATGAACTTGGCTGTTCTCTTTGTGGAAGGAGGTTGGGACCTTACTGTCACTGAGAATGGCTTTGATTCACTTTGGGGGAACTCTGCTCCTCACTTTGAGCATTGCTTCCTGGCTCCAGAAGGGAAGATGGTGCGTCACTCAGTCTCCAGGAAAAGCTTGTTGTGTTGGCGTTCCTGATATGGATTCGGCTCTTCTCATCATCAGAGGAGCTCGGGACCTCACTGTTGCTGAGGATGGCTGTGGTACTTTTGAAAGAGCTCTCTTTCTTTCTTTGAGCATCACTTCCTGGCTCCAGTGTAGATCCCTCAGGCTGCTAGCACAGATCCTTCATCCCGCTGGCACAGACTTTCTAGCTTCCACCACTGACCTTTGGGCCCTCCCAGTGCAGATGGGTGAAACAGGCCTGCATGAGATATTGTCATGGGCTCTGGGCCTCCAGCTGGACTCTTGGGGGGCATTGTTATGGGCTCTAGGTCTTCAACTGGACTCTTGCAAGACATGCCGTGGGATCCAGGCCCTCAGCTGGATTCTTTGGTCTTTACTGTGTGGGCAGATTTCTGCACTCTCTTTGTATATGAGTCTCTGAGTGACTATTATAAAATAATTCTATAAACTATGTGTCCTGTATTGTTTCCCCATGCAGAACCCCAAACTACAATGATAGATAGATGATAGATAGATAGATGGATAGATAGATAGCATATGCTTGACATTTTTCTGGATCATTCACTAGAAACTGTACACAATGGTTTACTTCTGAGGAATGAAACTATTATTTTCCATTTTATTTGTTTCTTTTTTTTTTTTTTTTTTTGGTTTTTCTCCGGTACCGGGAACTGAACTCACGACCTTGCGCTTGCCAGGCAGGCGCTTTTGCCACTGAGCTAAATCCCCAGCCCCTATTTTCCATTTTATATCATTCCAAAATATTTGACTCTGAGAAACCATGTATACATATCATTTTTAATTTAAAAATACTAGTTTACATCTTTTTTTAGAAAAACAAGAATTGCTTTTTTTTCTGGTTTGGAACATCTTTCTACACGTTATGGACTTGTTTGATCCCCCCAAAATCTAGAAATTTCAGGCAGGAATATGAACCCAATGTTCTAGTGAGCTTTGCACACATAAGTGGAGGATAAATCTTATGATTGTACATTTCACCACTGTGGGGATACGGTGGATGTGTATGTTTTTGTCAGAATCTTACTCTTTTACAGTTACAACTATTCACTTCATTGGGCTTCCTCATTGTATTCAAGAGGAGACGGAGCTGGTTGGGTAGATCTGTGGGGAAAGGAAGGGACCACTGACTGGGCAGGTATCAAGGGAGGATCAGCGTATTCTGTTTCTCAAAGTCATGTTTTATATATCTAAATTCCTGAGTTCTAAAGACTTAGGGATCAGTGCATTAAAATTAGAGGCTCAGAAAAAAATAAAAAGCATAGTCCAAAAGATTATCTGCTGTAGACAGGCAAATCTTTCAGTAACATCATCACGGTAAAACTCCAGAAAGCCTGCGAGTATTCAGGTGGGAAAGTGCCCAGTTTACTTTTCCCAGACATGCCTCGGCTATGCTACTTTTCTATACAAATAGTTTGTAATGTGCTCCAAACTGTCACTTCTGGCCAGAGACTGGAGTTGCTTTGTCCAATGTGATTATAGAGCGTTTGAAATATGGCTAGTGGACACTGAGATGTGCTGTAATTATAAAAATCGGCAGGTTTGGGAGAGTTAGCGTGAAAAAATAATATCTGCTATCTCGTTTATATTTTATATTGGTTGCTTTGCTGAGATGATACTACTTTGGTTGAATAAAATCTTTTATTAAAATTAATTTTACCTGGAGTTTTTGGCTTATTTTTGCCTGTTTATTTGTAGTGCTGGGACTGAACCCATGACCTTGCACATAATAGGTGGGCACTTTACCACTAACTTACATCTCCAGCCTTTCTTTTTAGTTTTTGAACTCAGATACTAGGAAACTTACAATTAGATATTTCTATTGGACATTTCTAGTCTTGAAAAACTCCCAGGGCACTTTCTTATGAATTAGTTTGCCCAGCGAAAGCCTGTTAATTGGAGATCTTTGCACAATATTTTGGCAGAGTCCTCTGCGAGTGGTGTTTTCCTGGAAGGACTTTGGAGTGAACAGACAAGTGAGCAGAATCGTCAGCATCACCTGAATGTGGGGGAAGAGCCATCGGGCTGGGCATAGTAGTGCAAGTTTGGAAACAGGTCCTGTGGCCCTATTTTTCTTTACTTTGAAATAGGTATTGGGATTTCTAGATCAATAATGCAGGTCACATGGTCAATAAAAGAGCTCACAAAAGATGGGTTTGAAAAAGCTTTGCTACTAATACTCTACAAGCGAGTATTTTATATTTCTTGCTTGTTTTTAGCAAAGTAAATATAGATTAACCACAGAAGGATCAAAAATCATTGATTGATTGTTTTGATTCTTGGTCTTTGGTACAATTACACTTGATTTAAATTTATAGTTAATTGCATGTACTTTTCTTCATAAAACATTCTTTTCATGTTTTTGTAATATGCATCAACTCCTGAATTACTTAGTGTTTTTCAAGTATGTTTTTTCTAGGAAGCTCAAGGCTCATTATTTTGGAGAGAGCAAGTTTCAGCTCAAGTGGGGAGTGCAAAGATAAGAACTTCATTGTCTTAGTTCCTTTTGTTGTTGCTGAGAGGAAATACCTAACACCCAAAGTTAAAGGAGGAAAGATTTATTTAGCTCATAGTTTGAAGAAGTTTCAGTCCATAATCAGCTGGCTCCAAGGCATTCTGGCATGGCAGACAGACATTGTAGAGGAGAAACAGTTCATGGCGGGCAGAAGGTAGCAAGTGACAAGGGACAATTGCAGCTCTCTCTCTCCCTTATATTTTATCCAGGCTACGTAGGGTAGGTGGCACTCATGCCCTTAATCCTAGTGCCTTGATCCTAGCATTGCGCCATCAGTCAATCCAAGTTCACACACTAGATCCATCTATCTCTAAAATAGCCCCACCTATGACTGCATGAGGCTGTGGGGAGACATCTAGACACAAGCCGTAACACTCATTCAAAGGACCTTCCAGCTAGGGCTGAGGAAGGCACAAGCATTAGACAAGATGGACTGAGAAGGGTGTTCTGCTAAATCTCAGATACCAGGGCTCTGGTTCCTGCTCTGAAGTAGCCAACTGAAATAATTTTATTCCAGCCCAGTGTTCTCAAAGTGGGGTCCCCCAACTAGCAGCATCACCTGACTTTGTAGACACACATTCTTGGTACCCATCCTCAAATCTATTGAACTCAAAACTCCGGGATGGGAGCGACAGTTAAATTCATGTTAACAGGTCTCAAAGATGATTGTGATGCACTTTGGAACTTGAGAAACAATGTGCTGCACTTTTAAACTCTTTTCTTTCCTTTTTGACGCAAGGAGTCTGGAGCAGAGATCTTGGTGCCATTAAGGCACGAGATGCAATGAACCTAAGCCCTTCCATGGTACCTGTACCATGGCCTTGCTGTAAGTTAAGCTTTCAAAAAGCTATGCTAATCAGGTCCTGTCATGACTCACAATATGAGTGGCAGGGGGCACGGGGTTGCTGGGATGATGAAGAGGGTTCAAGTAGCTCCCTCTCCCCACTCAACACTGAACAAACTCAGACTTAGGAGAATGACAGTAGAACAACAGATGCTGGCCCAAGTGCCCCCCTTGTTGTTGACAGTTCATATGAGAGGCAAATGAGTTTTTATGAGTTGGAAAGACCTTATTCACTGTCACCTAGGACTCACTTCCCAAAAAGTGGAGAAAGAGAGGAGCAGAGCTGAGAATGCCCTCTGTGGTCCCCAAGTTAGCTCAATTTGCTATTGAGAAGCAGAGAGAGGAAGGGAGAAGGGACAGAATAATACTGAATGTTCAGTTTAAGGTAGATGCTTTCCTTCCAGTGGTGAGGTGGTTGTATTGTTTTAAATAAATAACTAGAAGCTTGGTATGAAATGGCACAGCTTTAGTCAAAAACATTTCCATCTTTTTTTTT